GTTCAACAGATAATTGTTCTAGGACATTTCTGCCACATTTGCCCACAAAAGCACTCACCCTAGCTATATAAAAATAGTATGATTTGTCAATTAAAGAAAATTAAAAAATTGTAAAAGGAGTAGGTTGGTGACTGTTTAAAATACTTTCCTCAATTACGAGTGAATCAGAGGACTCTAGGACTGCTAAAGCGATAGACTGAAGTGCGGCTGGCCAGTGGGTCCCAGTTCTGCATCTGCAGGTTCAACCAACCCCAGATTGAAAATATTTAAAGGCCAGGAGTGGCGGCCTGCCCCTGTAGTCCCAGCTACTCCGGAGGCTGAGGAGGGAGGATCGCTTGAGCCCAGGAGCTATGACAGCACTACTGCACTCTAGCCTGGGTGACGGAGCAGGACCCTGTCTCTAAAATAAATAAATAAAATAAAGCATACAGGAGGACGTGCACAGGTTATGCAAATACTATGCCACTTTATATCAAGGACTGGAGCATCCTTGGAGTTTGGTATCCACAGGGGTCCTAGAACCAATCACCCACAAATACCAAGGGATAACTTCATAATTTTATTCACCAAACACAGAGCCTTTGAAATTTTGGTTACAATAATTTTATTATAAAAGTGTGACTAATAGGAAGAAATGAAGAAGGAAAGGAGGACAAAAGCAAAGGGAAATACTGATTAAAATTGGCTGAGGAAAAGGTACATTCATAATCATAGAGTTTAGCCTTTATTTCAGGAAGTAAAATACCTGGTATTTACTTGGATACAGAAAAGGCAATTAAGGTAACCCTGCTCCATAGAACAACCCTTCACTTTTGTAAGATTAATATTGAAACCGCAAAAGAAATGGGATTTGGTAATCGGGAAATTACCTACACTTCAGGCTGTACTACAGGCTAAAAATGTTGCTTTCCCCATACGTGGTAAAAAGAATGTGACCTTGTTCTGGTGCCAACAACAGGGGGCAGCAAAAGTCACACGATTTTTATAGTACCTCTATACCACTTCTACAATCTCAGATACCTCTACTGCTACCAACTGACATTTACTGAGCAGACATCATGTGCTGGGCAGTTGTAAATGTTTTACACATACAGTTTTAACTTATTTAAATCCCTTAACAACTCCATGAGGTAGATGTTATTATTACTTTCATTTTAAAAGTAAGGAAACTGGCCAGGAGTGGCAGCTTATGCCTAAAATCCTAGCACTCTGAGAGGCCTAAGCGGGAGGATCACTTGAGCTTAGGAGTTTGAGACCATCAGCCTGACCAAGAGCCAGACCCAGCCTCTACTAAAAGCAGAAAAAAATTAGCTGGGCATGGTGGTGCATCCCTGTTGTCCCAGCCACCTGGGAGGCTGAGGCAGGAGGATCACTGGAGTCCAGGAGTTTGGGGTTGCTGTGAGTTATGATGATGCCATCACACTCTAGTGGGACAACAGAGCGACTCTGTCTCATTCATAAATAAATTTACTTACATTTTAAAAATTAATGAATGGATGGATGTAAGGAAACTAAGAC